AATTAAATAAAATTTACAATGATATTAAAATTAATTTTGCAGTGAGTCGTACACTGTAATAAAAAATATTGTTTTATATAAATATGTAGTATTTAATATTAATGCATGAAATAACAAGAAAAACTATCAAATTGACTTTTATAACCACTGCAGCGATTTTTTCACAATCGTAAAACATTCTCAGACGAGAAAAGACCAGAATTATTAAAAATTTTTTATATATATTTGTTTTTTTTTATATAAAATAAATTTACAACATACATCTTCAAAAACATTTGTTTGGCTTGTGCGCCATAAATTCAATTCGTGGCCTGCATTGTTCCTTAAAAAAATGTTATATAAATATTTCTCTAAATTATATTTAAAGTAGGACCATATCTATATTTGCAAAAACAGATTTAAGTAAATCATCTTGGCCAATCTCATTTTATTTAATTATAATTTTAATTCATTCAATATGTTTAATATATTTCATTTGACGTTATTTCATTTGGCGTTATTTCATTTTTTAATTTAATTTAGTTTAAACTTTTTTTTTTTATTTTAGTTAGTTTCAATTTAATTTACTTTATTTTATTTTAATTTATTTTGTTTTTATTTCATTTTATATAGATTTAATTTTGTTTAGGTGTTTTATTTTTATTTCATATTTTTTATTTCATTTTTTTTAAGTTAATTTAATTAATTTATTTTTTATTTTACTATATTCTATTATCTATTATTTTATTTTAATTTAATTCATTAACTTAATTTTTTTATTTAGTTAAGTTTTTTTATATTAGTTCATTTTATTCTACTTAATTTTATTTTATTTTATTCTATTTTATTTCATTTTATAATTTTTTTTTTATTTTACTATATTCAGTATATATTATTTTATTTTTATTTCTTTTTGTTTCATTTTAATTTTATTTATTTTATATTTTTTTACTTTGTTTTAGTTTATTTTATTTTATTTATTTTATTGTACTTTTTTCATTTTATTTAAATTTAATTTAGTTTAGTGTATTTTATTTTTTTTTAACATTTTTAATTTTATTTTATTTTATGTTATTTAATTTTATTTAGTTTAGTTTATTTTATTTTTATTACACATATTTAATTTTACTTTATTTTATGTTATTTAATTTTATTTAGTTTAGTTTATATTATTTTATTTGATTTTGTTTATTTTAATTTATATTATTTAAATTTAATTTAGTTTTTTTATTTTTATTTTATTTTAACTTAATTAATTTTTTTTCTTTTTATTTTTATTTTATCGTACTATATTTTATTATACATCATTTTATTTTAATTTATTTAATTTTTTTATATTTCATTTTATTTTATATTATTTTAACTTAGTTTTTATTATTTTCTTAAGTTTTATTTTATTTTAATTAATTTTATTTCATTTTATTTAAATTTAATTTAGTTTAGTTTATTTTATTTTTATTTCATATTTATTTATTTTAGTTTCTCTATTTAACTTTAGTTTAGTTTAAGTTTTTATTTTATTTTATTATGATTTAATTTAATTTATTTTTCTTTTTCATTTATTTTTATTTAATTATTTTAATTTAATTTTTTTATTTTATTTTATTTCAATTTTTGTATTAATTTTATTTAGTTTTTCTTTTTATTTCAGTTTTTTTATTTTACATAAATTATTAAAAATAAGTATAGATGAGTGGCTACTCCCAAGAGGATACACAAAATGGAATTGGGAAACCACTCGTCAATTCGCCTGCACCCAAATTAAAGATTTCTTTTGTATTTTTGCTAGCGCTTGTTAAAAATTCGAACTTCGCATTGAAAACATCTCGACCCATACAAATTTGGTCGAATTAATTAATTTTTATTTTAATTAGCAAATTTTTTGAGCAAACTTGATGCAACTTCGAGAAAAAATGTGCAACCAAGGCCAACCAAAGTAACCAAAACCACAAACAGCAACAGCAGAAGACATTCCACGCCGCCATTACAAATGGATATTTGCTTCTTTGTTTGCTTGTTGTTTTTGTATGCATAGTATTTTTGGTTGCACATGCCTGCAATCGCATCTCCGCTCTTCTGCACACAATTTCAATTGCAATTAATTTTAATTAAATTTTCAACTTCTCTGTGCAGTGGCATGCGTTCACCTAAATGCAACAACGAAGCGAGTACGAGTATACGCATTCGTCTATATGTATGCATGTATGTTGGTATGTGAAGAGCTGCTGCAAATACCAATAGCAATTGTTGTTCCTTGTGCGTGATCTCTGTAAATTGGCTGCTAACATGTCTCTTTCCTTTATTTGCTGTGCTTTTCTACTACTTTTTTTCTTCTTCTATTTTTACATAAAAATTTATGTTAACCTGTGCGCACTGCACTTCCACTGCCTTTATATGGTCTGCTATTTCCATGTGTGACAGTTGTTGCCAAATTACTGTGCGGCGTAAAGTGCATGCCTCTGCAAAGTGGTATATACGAATATTAGTATGTAGTAGATAGTAGTAAAAAGCGGCCCACAGGTTTTTTGATGAGCTCACATCTGGTTTGCACCGCTTGCATGTACAGGCATATACAAACATACATACCTGCACCTACCTACATCCATGTGAACATTGAATTTCTAGTTGATCCTGTTTGCGATTTTGCCGCTGTTTTTCTTTTTACTGTCTCTATGGCAAAGTAGTATATGCATACCGGTTACGAATCAAGATCATGGCTACCATGAATGCAAAGAGCGGACCACACAATTCAAATATATGTACATATATATATGTACTTGCTAGTAGATATTATTTTTAATAGTGTAAAAATATGATTTTGATTTTTTTACCAAAAGCTCACTCAAGGTCCACACTCAATATGCGCCAAATTTATTTTATTTTTGGTTTATGCCATTCATGAACATGAAATTTTACATTCGGTCTAGTAAAAGATAGTCCATTATTTTCGGATTAAATTTAAACTTTATTTACCGTAATTAAACCCGATTTGGAAGTTTATGACTTCGTCTACTCGTCTACTTCGTCTACTTCAGAAATTACTCGATTTTGTTACGATTCAGCAGTGGTTCGCACATCGAGCTTCGTTTCCAGTGGTCCCAAACTGTTAGTCAGACATTTTCAGCTACCTGACTGTCGTTTTCGCGACCTGAAAGGGTTTATCCATGTCTGTATGTCTGTCCATCTGTTTGGACGCAAATATTCACTCAGTTTTTGTTTTTTATTTATTTATTTTTTATTTTTTTTTACTGGGAGCTTCTGGTCATAAATCTAATTTTGGGCCGGCTTCTGTAACGAAAATTCCATTTTTCACCTGATTTTTGGTCTTCGTTTTTTATTTATTTATTTATTTATTTGATCAGATAGAGAAATTACTGCCACAAATATGTTTATAAAGTTGCTCGTTTGTTGCTTGGAATGTACCAAGTGACTTAGTTATTGTAGGTCAAATTGGAAAACGATTAATGAAGTCAGTTTGCAAATAAAAGTTAGACAAAATTGGATTCAAAGTTGTAAGATAATAAAAAAAAATTAGCTTTTCTAATTACTGCCGCACCTCGGCAGGGAATATCAACTCCTCGGAGTGTAATTCTGACAATAATAAAAAATATGCTCATATAATTTCTTCAGCTGTTACAATAAACTCTACAATCAACCATACTACATGCCACTATTGCACATTGAGGATTGCTCATTATAGAGGAGATTGAACAGGAGGGTCTTGTAGTACATGAGTGGCCGGCGGTCAAAGGTCTTGAGTTTCGTGATCGCTACTCCATACTTAAATATTTCTGTTGTTTAATTCCTACATTTCGGTCACCCTTTCGAGCCTCCAGACAACATTTCCTTGATCTCATATGCTGATGTATGTTCGATATTGGCGTCTGATTATGATATTTTTGGACTTCGATCAAGGCTGAACTGCTTTCCTACTAGTTTTTCTACTTTTTCTATTTTTATAGTTTCGTACATAGAAATCCACGACTATCACCAGCTGAGCAAGAAACTACCGGCTAGAAATTAAACTCATAAAGTACGCTGCGCCGATTTAGCGACGAAGAAGAGAAATGACGTAATCCACTCAATACTCATAGCAGACGAATTCTAGCTAACTCTCGAGACCCGACTAATACTCACAGTAATAAAATTCCGGATATTGTAACATATCTTACTTATTCGACTTGCTTACAATGAGTGCCCGCACACTAACCACTTCTTTGTATTCCTGCTAAAACCATTCTACACATTTTTCACACTATCTTCCCATGTGCCAAACCCATCGAAATAGCTCGTTTCGTTGTCCTTTCGCTAGGTAACCTAAGCGACATCGACTAACTTTGTGCCCCCCTAGACAAATTGAAATCAATCTTGGCAGGTAGTACTTATTGTGGATCTTCTCTTTAGCCTTTAACATTAAATTGAAACGCATTGAATACCAATAACCCCTCCTTGAATTTTAGCTTCCGTGCAATGGTGTGTCTGTTAAGAGTTGCGTAATTTATTTACTTTTTTCTAGGTAGTTATAGTACGGGTAGTTATAGTACGGGCAATAGCCGAGTGTTTTGCCTTTCATACTGCCGTTCCGAAGGTCAGGGTTCGAATCCTTGTTCGACTAATATCCAAATTTATAAAAAATTTTATTTGCAGTCGCCTCTCGGCAGGGAATCTCAAGCCCTCCGAGTGTACTTCTGATATGAAATACAATAAAAACTCCTTATATAATACAAATCCATCGGACGCTTGGAACCGACTGTAGGTTGTTGTTCCATTTATTTGGGAAAACTTCAAGATACTTATCTCAAGTACATATATATATAAAAAATTAGGCCCTTAGGTTTCTCTCCTTATCTATCTCCTCTCTCTTTCTCTCTCCTGTTCTCATTTGTACTACACTCGTAAGACATATTTTTATTTACAATACTTTTCTGAACCTTTGCGAACTGAGCTCGCATATCTTATTAATTATTATTCTCGAAATACAAATTTTATCTTATGATTTGTTTTCTTTTCCTTCTTTACAGAACTTCAAGGAAAAGGATGCCGGCAAAGTGGTACTCTACACAACGAGTATGGGCATCATACGTGACACGTACGCGAAATGTGCGAATGTCAAACAGATATTGCGTACATTGTTGGTGAAATTCGAGGAACGCGATGTCTTTATGAGCATTGAATATCAGCAGGAGATCAAGGAGCGCATGCACTCGGAAGCGATAAAAGTACCTCAACTCTTTGTGGAAGGTCAACACATTGGCGTAAGTACACGTAAATTGATATAAGAAACTGTTGTTTATTGGTGTCTTCAGCAAAAGAGCAAAAGAGCAACAAACCAGAAGCCGACAGCCAAAAGTCAGGTACTTGTTTGACTTTTCTTTGCAACAATGAGTGGAGTGTATTTTGAATTAATAAATTACAATAACAATAATAATAGTAATAATAATAATAAAAGGGTGCTTTCTTTAGATGTGAGGTTTTTAAACAGACAATATTTATTTGAGAGTTGGTCTGTTTGGCAGCTTGTTGCTTGATTTATACGCAGTTTGGCTTGCCATTTCATTATCAGCAGACTTAATCCGCAACAACATTTGAAAATGGGTCAAATTTATTACCAAACGAATTGGTCAGGTAGTGCGATACAACGCTCGCTGCGTTCAACATTCAGTCGGCATAATATGCCCAGCAGATTTGGTAATTTGAGCAACTGCAGATCGGTTTCATTCCACTTTTACTCTAGTGGATAATGCGCATTCTCGCGCAGTGCACACCGAAACGTTTTAGGGAGCGGAGGAAGAAAAGATCCGAATGACTCCATTCGCCTTTGCGCGCAACAATCGTAGCTGTGCCTAATAAGGAAGGGTCTTGATTTGTGGGCTTACAAATTCCAGCTCGTGCAAAAATTGGAACCGAACGATCATCAAGCGCGTCGCGTTCTTCGGCACATGGGCCCAAAATGAGATGGCCACCGATCCCGATTTTCACAATATAATTTTGTTCAGCGAAGAAATCATACATAAATAAAACGAAATTGTCGCATTTGCCGTGATGATAACCAACAAGCCGTTGTTGACCGATACATCCCCAAATTGGTCACTGTTTGATGAGTTCTATGGGCAGAGCGTCCATATTTCTGCAAAAATGAAGCCAACCCTTACATGTTAAAGTCAATACTTTTTCGTGCCTCGACAAGAGGATGTTAAGGTGAATGACCTTTTGGATGCAACAAGACGACGCTACATGCCATACAGCCAACGAAACAATCTATTTATTAATGGAAACCTGTGATGGGCGCATTACTTCGTCTCCAAGGCCGAAAGAATTAACACCGCTGAACTATATTTTGTGGAGTTATGTGAAGCCCGAGACGATCGACTCCTCGGAAGAGAATATTCCGCGTGGTAATGATGGCATACGGCCCTAATAGCTGCAAAAAGTGGTGAAAAATGGGACCTCTCTGATAGAGGCGTCCGCGGTGATCACTTACCTGAAATTATTTTTAGAATGTTTTAAAACAACGTCAAATTCTTGGCTATAACTATTATTTAATTTATTTATATAAATTTCATTCTTACTTGAAAACCAAATCTCTAAAAAAAGGAACCCTTTAACACTTCGACCATGTCAACTTGCAACTCTTCACTTTTCATGTGCACTGAGTAACATTTGACTTTGTCATGGTAAACATTTATTGTCAAATGGCTAATAGTAGTTGTTGCAAGTGTTTTTATTATTAAATTTGTTGTTTTTATTTTCCGTTTTTCTAACTTTTTTGCAATATTTATTTATTTATTTAATTGTACGCTTCGTAAGCTTCTTTCTATTACTTGCTGCCACAAGCATTTTCCTACCACATTGCTTTGTAACGGTTTCGTTAGTATTAAAGTTACTACAATAACAACTTCTACAAAACTGCTGAATCAACTGCTGCTGCCCGAAGATCAAAACACGAAATCTTAAAGCATGAATAAGTCACGAATTGGCGGTTGCTTCTGCTGCATTTGGCAGTGCCGTATATCCATGCACCTCCCCCTTTGCCATACCTGCAAGGCCATACCGTGTGTCCCAGCAGGGCGCGCTGACGTAATTACTTATATTTCCGAGATGTTTGCACTTATATCGCGGTTGTAGCAATTTTTCTTATTGTTTGTATTCATCTTGTATGACATGTGTTTGCTTGTACTTGGACACTTTTGTACAGAGAAATGAAAAAATTAAAATTAAGGTTGGCAGTTGTCTTGGCTCCTAAGAGCTTACGTCAGCAGCTCCCACTGATAACTGCTGTAAATTGTTTATTTAATTGGTACTTAATATTGAACCCAAAGTTTCGTCTCCAATTAAAAATTTTACTCGGAACATCATTCTTCTTTTCAAAAGGGTACAAAAATGCACATGAATACTCTACGCACTGTTGTTTTTGCAGAAGCGTGAGCATTCTCGGCAGCCATTGAGTGTTAACTTTAGTCGTGTTAGAAATTGTTTTATCGGATACTCGAACCATTTCGACGAGTTGTTTCTTCCTGTGTCGCGCATCGTCGAGGAAACTTTTTTCAACTTTTTCTATAGGTTCTGGCACGGTGTCATCGGTACTTACGATCGACCTCAACTCTTTTTTAAGGGATTCCCTTCCTTCTGGATCCCAATTTAAACCTCGATTATTTGCATCAATTCTAACTTGTCGCCGGCCAAGCAAGGAGGATACATTAAGACCATAAAGTTTCCAGAAGTTGACATTCAAACTGCCCGCGCTGAATACTATTCAGTACTTTTTTTTGTTAACTTGGCAGCACTGTCCAGTTCGTTTGGAGCAGCTGTTGAAATTAGTCGACCTCAGTTCCATCCTTGAACATTCTTTTACGTCCTCAATCGAGTCGAAACGGGTTCCACGAAGTGGAAACTTGAGTTTTAGAAAAAAAAAACGCATGGCACCAAATCCGATGAATATGGTGGTTCATCGATGGTATTAAACGAGTTTTTGGTCTTAAAATCGTTCAAAACTACAGCTCGATGCGATTCCGTATTATCGTCGTGAAAACCCATGAAATGCTTGTCCACAATTCCGGCAGTTTACGACGGATGTTTTCGCACATTCAAAACGCTCAAATCATACTCTTTTTTGACCGCCCGTCGAGTTGGAGCGAATTAATGATGAACCAAACCGCAAATATCGAAAAAAAAAAGATTTTTCGGAAAATTTATGAGGACCTTTTGTCTCCTGTTAAAAATACACTCAGTGGGTTTGGCTAATTAATTTCTATTGTTATTAGTTATATCTGGGCTAGGACCGAGGCCTTCCGAATGGTGTACGCAATGCTAACCACTCAGCTCTACGCGTTGTCTGTTGTTTTTGCGGACTGTGGCCGCCAAGAGCTTACTTTCTAATAATGTGGATCTATATCTCACACATCACATCGTTCCACGACCTTCCATATGCAATGCGTTAGGGACCTTAAATTTTGCGCAAAACCTTTCTCTCGAAAATTCCTAATGGCTACCCAGCGGATGCTATCATCGTTCACGGTTCTTCACCAGAGGACGAGAATGGTGAGCGACTTGTTTGATCAATGTTCTTCGAGAGAGAAATTTACTTTTAAATTGCCTACTCTGTCCAAGGTATATCTATCAAGACCGATACTGCGTCATAAACGAAGTTATCTACGACTTCAAATTTATGACTGATTATGTGGAAGCCGAGTCGTCTTGTCCTCGTTCACTACCAGACTATCCAGTCTGAATAAGGCCGAACACACGGTGCAGGCTTGGACGCCAATGATGTCAATATTATCAGCGAACGCCAGCAGTTGTACACTCTTATGAAAGATTGTACCTTCCCTATTCAGTTCTGTAGCTCGCATTATTTTCTCCTGTAATAAATTAAAAAACTCAAGTGATAAGGAATTATCTTGTGTGACACATTGTTCCATATCGACCGGCACAGAGAGGTCTTCCCGAGCCCGAAGGAGCTTTTGTTGGTACTTTACATCAGCTTACACCTCCTCATAAGTATTGCAGAGATACCAATCTTAGATATATCGGGTTCGAGGCAGTTCATTTTCGTGCTGTTAGGGCTGCTTTAAGCCCTCTAACGACGAACGAAGACCAGAGTCTACAAGACGTTCATCATTCTTGTTATAGTATATGGTATGGAGGCATGGAGGATGATGACATCTGATGAGTCGATGACGTCAGGAGTTTTCGAGAGAAGTGTTATGCGTATGGAAGCATCGAATACTGCAAGGGATGCAACGATGAGCTGTACGAGATAGACGGTAGGACTCTTGTACTTAGTTCAGCGAATCAATCAATCAATCCTCATTTCGTCCGATTGCATGAAAACGCTCTAGCTTTGAAAACTCTCGTCGCGCCACCTGCTGGTGGAAGCAGAGGAAAAGCAAAACATCCACTCCGTTGGTAGGATCAGATGGAGAAGAACTTGGCTGAGTTTTGTGTTTCCAATTGGCGTCAAACAGCGAAAAGAAGGCACGAAATTCACGCTGTTGTTAACTCGGCTATAAACGCAGAAGAGGTGCCTACACCAAGAATAAAGAAGAAAAATGTTAATGGTAAATTTTCATTGTGCAACTTTGAGCACTCGAAAGTGTGTCGAAAATAAGAAATCTTCAAATTGAATGCAATAAAAGCTGCTAAAAATTTAAAACAATACTTGAAAGCAGAACCGAAGTGTTTATATGTATGTATGTAAACATTGCGAAAGGATGTCAAGCGATTTTAACACATTTTCCGTCACAAGACGCTGCTGAGGCAAGGCACCTTAATGCAATAGACTACAAAATTTTACAAATACAAGAAATAAATACGAAAAATGGAAAATCTGTGGCAGCCAAGCGGAGTGACACATTGGTTTTGTGCAAGAAATAATCCTTCATTTGTATGGATACATATGTACCTACATATACGAATGCATATATATGTATGTACGACCGTTTATTGTACGCCTGCTTACATGCCCAATTTGTCCGCGACTAAATACCGTAAAATATGTGTGATTGCAATAACAATAATAATAACTGCAGCTGCAGATTTAATGATTTAAAAGCGGCCTCTCAAGTTTGCCAAGCCAATTGTTTTCTTACATTCGTATTTTTCTCTTCTAACTGGCACTGGCACTAGCACTCACTGGCAATTTGGTGAATGGCGCAACAAAAGAATCACATAAACACGCAATGAGGTGTTAAAAATAATTGTGTAAAATTAAGTTTTTTGCAATTTACGCTTTTGAGAACGCGTTAGAAAATAACCC